AAAAGCGAAATCCATGGCGCAACACGAATACCAAGTGCCACTAGATGCAATCACTCAAGCAATGCACTTGGATTCTCTCCCAATCTCACAATGATGATGGATCAATGATGGAGATGAGTGGGAGGGCTTTGGCTAAGCTCACAAGGTTGCTATGTCAATGAAAATGTGCAAGAGTTATCCATTGAGCGGCCATGGGGCTATAAATAGAGCCCCCATCAAATAGAGCCGTTATACCCCTTCATCTGGGGCAAAAGCAGCGTTACGACCGGACGCTCGGTCGACCGACCGGCCGGCTCTCGGCTCTCGTCCGGCCGCTTGATGTCACCCACGTGTCCAGACTCAACGGTCATCACCTCGACCGGACGCTGCTCCTTCGAATCGACCGGACCGCTGAAGCCCCAGTCCGGTCGTTTCAATAAGCTCCCGAGGCGTATTTCTTCGACCGGACGCGTCCGTCCACCTTAACGGACGCAGACCAGCGTCCGGTGCTCAACCTTCCTCTTGTGTTGCTTGAAGTCGGCATGACCGGACGCAGTGCGTCGGCGTCCGGTGTACTGATTCAAAGGTCCGGTCACAGGACCGACGCCAAAGACATCATTTCGACCAACTCCATTTCAACTCTAACTTCTTCACCCTTGCTCAAATGTGCCAACCACCAAGAATTTTGCATCCGGCGCAATAGAAAATAGACATTTCATTTTTCCAAAGCGCGAATCCCGCCTCACAAGCTCGGCGGGAGGGAGAGAGGACCCAAACCCATCTCAACCCCGCAAACACCTTGTGCACATGTGTTAGCATATTTTCACAAATATTTTCAAGGGTGTTAGCACTCCACTAGATCCTAAATGCATATGCAATGAGTTAGAGCATCTAGTGGCACTTTGATAACCGCATTTCGATACGAGTTACACTCCTCTTAATAGTACGGCTATCTATCCTAAATGTGATCACACTCACTAAGTGTCTTGATCACTAAAACAAAATGGCTCCTATATTTTATACCTTTGCCTTGAGCCTTTTGTTTTTCTCTTTCTTCTTTTCCAAGTTCAAGCATTTGATCATCACCATGCTATCACCATTGTCATGATCTTCGTCATTGCTTCAACACTTGGAGTAGTGCTACCTATCTCATAAACATCTTGATAGACTAGGTTAGCACTTAGGGTTTCATCAATTAACCAAAACCAAACTAGAGCTTTCATCCGGTCGGGCTCTGAACCGAAGGTCCGAGAGTGATGGGAGCTCCAACGTGCGCTAAGTATTGGAACGTATGCTCTGTGTAGCCTTAGAGTTCTAGAGCTGTGGAGCTGTTCGAGTGCTCAGAATGTCTAAAGCTTAGCAGAGAGAGAGTTGGAATCACCTTTTTTGTTGGGAGAAAGCGTATCCCCTTTTATAGGTGAAGGGGATGGCCTTACAAGTGAGACAAAGAGAGAGTGAGAGTGTGTGTGCTACCTAGTCTTATTGCCCACGCCATCGGGTATAAGACAGTTTGCCGGTGCCCACAATATTGTTGACGCCTAGATGCATGTGGCAGGCTCCATCGTGTTCTTCTGGTATGGCAAATGTCAGCGCCTACCATACTGTAGGACAAATGACGGCGCCCATAACACTGTTCGTGTTTTGACATGTCAGAAAGGCTGCATAGCACCCTTCTGGTATGGCCTAGCGGTACTGTCCTACAGGTGTGCAGGGTACGGTCCTCGCTACTGCGGTTGACTTGAGCGCCTCGCCTTATCTTCTCTGCTTGATTCTTGGGTCCTCACCGAGCGGGCGTCCCTGGTCGGTTGTTCCTAGTTGGTTCTGACTGTGTCGGTCGGAGCAGAGTTGTAAGTAGAGGTTCCCCGCATTCCCGGTCGGAAAAGCGGGTCGGAGTCAGAAGCGAGCGTCGTCCTCTCCTTGGCCAGGCCTTCCGGTCGGAGAAGAGCTGTAAGCAGAGGTTCCCCGCATTCCCTATTGGAAAAGCAGGTCGGAGTCAGAAGCGAGTGTCATCCCCTCCTTGGCCAGGCCTTCCGGTCGAAGACTGGTTCGCTCTTTCGGCCTGTCGTTAGGTAATTGGGCCGGCCCAGGAGTCACGCGTTGTTGTGATGCCATCTGCTGGGCCGAGCCTTTGCTAGGAAGTGGGCCCATCGGGGACACTGGGTTTATGAACCTGACACCTAGAAAGTTGTTGCGCCGTCAAGTTTTCTGATCTTGGTAATAATGTTGGAACGTATAAAGATCCTTTGCAGGGTAACATTTTCAAGATCAACCAGTTGTCAAGATTTGCAGGCTCCTTTGGACAGATTCCAACTTTCAGAAATGAGTATCAGAAGAAAATTGAAGGAATCATGGGGAACACCGTACCAATGGTAGGTTTCAGAGAGCAGGTGCAACATTCAGTTTTGGAAACAACACACACTCTAGAGCGACGTCGATTGGCTATTCTGCCATGCCGACCCAGGTGCTGAATGGCGGTGGAACTAGGGCTTTCATTTTGGCTGCTAAGATTTCAAGTTTTAGGATGTAGTTAGTATATTTTAAACTAATAAGATGGTATTTAGCCCACCACACCACAACCCCATGGGCCATGAGAAATAAAACCAGATTACGGGTATTAAAAATTTACATTTAAAGAGATAAAAGGGGGGTGTGATGCATTGTTTGTCGCCTTTCATTGTAATCAATAAAAACATAATGGGAAAATTTTGCTACAAGCACTGAAAGTGATGTCGTATTACCGTTAGCCACCGGAAAATCTAATTGGATGCTAGACACTATGGTTCGTGACAGATTTGCTAGAAGAAACCACATTTTCCTGGCCCTTTCTTCGTCCTCCCTCCCTTTCTTCGTCCTCCCTCCCCTTCTTCTACATGGTCTTTTCTCTCATTGTCTTCTCTATGATACACCTAACTAGTAGGCGAGGGGAGGATGCACAGGGATGGGGTGAGGGCATGGCCTAGGGCACATGCCCGGAGATTCAGCAGTACACTAGGCTTGCACGTGCATCGAGAACCTTGAGCTCCCCATTGATGTATTGCATGGTAGAGCGTCCAACCCTAGGCTACCCTCCTACAGTAGCAACAATAGATCAGTGTCGTCATTAACGATGAAAACGGTCGAACTCGGTCGAAAAACTCCTCAACCATTTTCTATTTTTACATTTGAAATACGAAAGCGAAAGCGAAAGCGGACAAGCCGGACACGAAAACGAACACGAACTTACGGAATATCTAGAATTTCGGAAACGAACCAATTCGAGCGGAATTATGTTGAACACGGTCGGTATGCGAAAATTCAATACGAAATACCGACCCACAGTGCATAGCATTAAACAAGTACACGACCAAATACATAACAAGTTCACAATTAACAAGTGCATGATCTAGTTCAAGTGCATAGTATTAAACAAGTGCATGACCAAATACATAATAAGAGAGATGAGGTTGGGCGCCGTCTATAAGAGAGGGCAACTAGCCATCAGTAGAAAGAACGCAGCTGCGTGGTGAGCAGCCTGTAATTGGGCTGTATGACCTGTGCAGTTGGCCAAATTCGGTTTAAACCGAATTTTGAATTCGGAATATTTTAAATTAAAAGTAGAAAAGTAGAAAACAGTCGAAAAATGTGTAAACCGTTTTCTACTTTTACATTTGAAATACGAAACATCTCAAATGCGAAAGCGAAAACGGTAAAGTCGGACAAGAAAATGCGGATTCGATCGGATTAAATATAGAAAACGATGCGGTTCGGTTCGGGATATTTCCGTTCCGTTTTCATCCCTTAGTCGTCATGCCACACGAATGAATGGCAGGGCCAAGGGTAGGGTGTGGACCTGACAACCATGGATGTCAACGGCGAGACGGTGGAGGTGATGGAGCACGTGTCCCTCGAAGAAGTTTCCCCGCATTGTGTTGGCACCGAGTAGCGCAACATGAAGCATGTGCATGATGGAGAAAGTAAACTTTGCCCTCAAGGGCACATGCCCTGCTATTGTGCACCCTCAGATGTACACTGAGGGGTCATCAGATGAAGGTGTGTTAATCTCAATGGCACCGTCGACAATCTTTGCGAGTGAGTGAAGATTCTTAAAGACATAGTATAGGGACCCTCGTTACCCATGCTGCAAATGGAAGATTTGATTTGATTTGATTTGGGGAGGCAGATAGGAGCAGGTAGGGCAAAGGTGGAGAGAAGCTCAACCCGACTGTTGAGGTCTCTGCTAGTGGGCAAAGGTGGCCGGAGGCGATGCACAAGCACCAGGTGACCAATGATAGTATGCGAGCACCGGTGACATGTTGGGCTCGCGAACGAAGGAAGCCGTTAAAGGGGCATCGAATGTCATTTTGAAATTTTCTCTCTTCTTCTAAGCCTTAAACGAATATTTTAATGGATGCAGTGTTTTTCAGCAAATTTGTCATAAATAGACTGTCCACGACATCACTTTCTCAGTGCCCTTAGCAAATTTTGCCAAACATAATCAGCTAAGGAAGACTAATAAGTTGGTAAATAAGTACCCCGGTGATCCTTTCTAGAGATAAAAAGCCAGCATTATCCTAATGCTTCTTAGAAAGGGCACTTAAGTAATTTCCATGTTATTGGCCATTTTGATGTTGGTGAGAATCTTTCTGGTCCGACGACATGCCATATAGGGCCATGCCATCCCATCACCACCGAAGCTTTCTGATGTAAACAAAGTCTACAACAAGTATGATTGTATGAATATAACAATCGTCTTCATTCAGAAGGTTCTCCCTTCAAAGTTCAAACACATATGTATACTAGTAGTATACGGTATATATATCTAATGTACCTCACTAATAATTAATCTGCTTTGAAATTTTTGCAACTTTGAAAAGAGAACCACGGGAGCACTTCTATATGATACCTTTTTGTTTCTATATATATCATCGATACATTTGCATGTGATGTATAGTTTAACGCTTTCTACGTTACTAACGTCATAGCTAAGCTAGTAGCTAGCCGGCTGTATGTACGTATTCCATCCATGCGGTAGCCGTAGATGCCTACCCGGCCGGGCCTCTAGCCAGCTGGCCCGTTCGGCTGGTGATCCAGAGCGTGCTGAGCGTTCGGAGGCGGCAGAAGTAGTCGGCGGCGGCGATGAAGCAGCGCGCCGCCTGCCTCGCCGTCAGGATCTGCCGGAGCGCGTGCAACGCCTGCATCCTCAGCTCGTCCGCCTGCATGCATTAATTGCACGGTACGTTTGCGATGAGCATGCAAGCAATGCATGGCTAGCTTGGCTGAAAATTAAAATGAATCGAAGGAAGAGACAGACACACACAGAAAATGCATGCATGCATGGTGACCATACCTGTCTGAGGATGGTCCCGAGAGAGGCCACCTTGTCCATGGCGAGGGCGACGTGCATGTGGCCCATCCCCATGTAGCCGGCGGCCACGTCGGCCGGGTGGTAGAGCTGGCCACCGCCGCCGCCGTACATCATCCCCGGCGGCGGCGGCGCGTCCGAGGCCACGACCTCGGAGAGCGACCGCAGCAGCGCGTCCAGCTCGGCGTCCAGCGCCTCCTCCGCCCGCCGCGCCGCCTGCTCCACGTCGCGCGCCCCCGCCGCCTGCTGCTCCGCCAGCGGCTCCACGTGCCGGACCACGACCTGCGTGCGTGCATGTTGGCGTCATCGAAAGGGTTCCAGGAGCAGGTAGCAGGAAAAAAGAAGATCGATGGATCCCAGCCCCACGAACAAAAGCTGGAATAATCCTGGCGTTCCAAATTAATCCAAGCACGCGATGGATCATCTATCGACGTCGACAGCGACAGCAAACGACGACGACGACGTTTGCCATCTGAGACTCTGAGCCTAGCTAGCTCGCACGCACATCGATCGTCGTCGTCGTCGCCGCCGCGTGACGCGACGTGTCCATGGATAGATCGAGCTCGAGCGTGTGTGGTGTGACACACTGACACCCGCGCGGCAATGAAGCGCTGGTGGATCACCTCACCTCCGCCACCTACTCCCGGCCGTGCGAGTTGCGACTGAGACTGATGCATGATGTAGATCGATGGAGACTCGTTGACACGTGACACTCATGTTCGTACGCAGGCGGCGTCTAGCGGCTTACTATAGCACGACGACTTCTCTGGACGGAGCTTAGCTTACCACGAACTGTTCCATCAGCTAATACTGTGACGTCCTACCTGACCAATAATTGACTAATATACATGCCATCAACTTTGTATATATAATAATAGTATGTACTTAGAAGTTTCATTTTGGGGGATTGTTGGCATATATTGGTTGGTTGTGAGGTACGGTGGTCATGCTGACGTGCGATGGAACCACGGCCACACATGTCAGTGACACATCCAGCCGGTGGGCATGATCAAACAGGTGTCATTTCAGGTCCGTACTTGCGTTATTGTACCACGCTTGCGTGTGTACCTTTCTTGCTTCTTGGTCTTTCGGCCGGTGGGTATTAGGCTATTAGCTAGCGGCAGATGATGAATTTTAGCGTACCTTGACGAACTCGGAGGGGCGGAAGCCGCCGATCCAGAGGAAGCAGCGCTCGGCGGCGCCCTTCCACAGGCCGGAGAGGAGGTGGAGCGGGTCGGCGCCGGCGACCCGGGCCTTGTGGCCCATCAGCGCGCCGTAGTGGGCGGCGGCCTCGTCCACGTACGCCCGCAGCTCGCCGTCCGGCCGGTGCTCCTCCGCGGCGGCCCGAAGCCGGGCCACCACCTTGCTGTGCTCCCCCAGCCACCGCTCGTACTCCAAGTTGAACAGCGCCGCATCTGCATGCATGCAAATGCACGTGCAGTGCAGGTGCAGCCTTTCATGAGGTTGATTGATGAGTTATAGATATATGTCATCAGTGGCAGAAGCAAAGCAAACCTGGGCTTAGAGTTCCTGCACCCCATAGTGCACCCTATGAAGAAATGGAAGAAGCATAATTAGTACTTGAAAGTTCACAATTAAGCAAAAAAAAAACATCGAATGATGTTTTGCAATGTCTGTTTATGATAAGTAAGCCATTTTGTTGCAATAATGTGAAGAAACTTCCTCTGAAAGAATTATAGGGTCTCCTGTCATTGTAACCAAATTGTTCTAAAATACTCCTACATATTCAAACGAGATATATATTCTTCATCACTTTACCTGATGGGTTCTTGCCATCTGCATCTCCTGCTCTAGCTGTGCCAGCCTGATCCTGCCTGACTCTAGCTGCTGAATATAAGCCTGTTTCACACGCACATAAGAAATTAAGTAGTTTCTATTCTATACTTAGCTAGTGCAGCTCATATCTTCCATGAAGATGAAGAAACGGAACTTTCAGAAGAAAATATATATATATATATATGTATATGTGTAGTCCAAAACAACTATTTTCTTAGGTACGTAGTAGGTGAACTTCACCACCCTATAATATGTCCAGTCTACTCCCCAATCCCCATCTCTTTGTTTGTCAATTGCCCTTTCTTGCAAGACTTTTTCTCCTCATGTTTTGAGGGTTGACTTGTCCACTACATATATTTTTAATCAGTATTACTACTGCTTACTAGCTTGGGAAACGGTAGAGGTCGTCATCATCGTCAGTAATAAATAAACCCTACAATACATAATTACCTTCTTCCTCAGCCTGCTCTTCCTGGCGGCCTCCCTATTCTGCGCGAGCCTCCGCAACGTCTTGGGGTCCGGCGTCCGGGAGCCCTCCTGATCCGAGCTCGAAGCTCCCGCGGCGCCATGCTTGCCTCTGGCGGCGCTACCTTCTCTCTGGTTGTGAATTGTGATATATAACAAAGCATTACATTTGCTGTACACGTACATGAAGCGTACGAGATGAGATCGATCGGATTGCATATATAATTACCTTGATTGCTGCCTTGGAGCTCTTGCCGGCGGCGAGCGGCCCGCCTCCCACCTTCAACGACGGCGCCTGCGAGTTCTTGGAAGGGCCAGCGACCTGTGCTACCGCTGCTGAAGAAGAAGCCATGGAACCCTGGGTAGGAAGAGAGGAATGAAGGGCATATATATGCATGTATGTATGGCATCATCATGAAGCAATCATCTCTTGTGCTTTGAGGTATAGCTAGTAGGTCGTTAGAGCTTGAAAGGATGATACCTTTGGAGATGGCTCGATATGATGCATTGGCTGGGAAGGGAAGATGTTGAGAGTCTCTGCACGCATGAAACAAGTCCTGCAAACATTATGACTTTGTAGAGCACACAAAGGCACACGCACGCATGTCAGCATGTGCACATATACTATTGTGTTTCCTAATATGGCTGGTTTTCTCCATGCGTGTGCGAAAACTATCCTCAGATAGGTTGTTTTCATTTCACACGCAATGGTAATAAGTGGTTAACTGGTAGTAACAAAGGAAAAAGGAGGTGTAAAATGCTGGTACTTAGTGTCAGAAATGGGGGGAAAAGCGTGGAACAATAATTGTTCAGTTGCCTAATTTTAGCATGACATCTTGAAACTATATTAGTTAGTGTTCGTTACGTGTCACTCTACTCCAACAGCTAGCTACTTAGTTGGTAAATAAGTAGCTAGAAATATTCTGAGAAACTGTGATGACAAATGAAGAAGTTTGGGAATTGGGATCAACTGAGGAAATTGAACACATTGAGATCTGCAAACTACAAGAGCTAAGTGGAAAGGAAATCGAAGACTACTCAACACCATTATTTGGTTTGCATTTCTGGCTAAGATACAATTTAAACCAGTCATATCACAACGCTTACATGTGGACAAGTTTGTGATACATTAATTTGGAACTAATGGAATTTTGGCAATGACATATTCCTTCAATATATATGTGCTTATAGTGAAAAGTGAGTAAGCGACCAAACATTTTTCAACATAATGAACTTTCTTTTGCAGAAATCGAGCGGCTTACGCGGTTGTTGTTCTTGAATTGATGTCTTAGCTTGCTGCCCATCAAAGTAGAGGAGTAGGGCTTGGTCCAGATCGGATGACATGTCATATCCTTCGGGATCCCTTCTCCTGCACTTTCACAGATGCAACAGAATATCACAACTGCTCTCATTTCTATTGAGTAACTAGTTCCACAAATTTAAAAGGGCTTTAATTAATTGAGAAGAGAGGGGAATAAATTAAGAAAGTAAGTAGTACTGAAATAATATATAGCTTGCATAGAGAGGATGAACTAATCCATTTTCTTACTATAGGTTGTTCACCCAAAGGACATCAATTATCTGTTTGGGAATATAAAATATATCATCAAAGAATCGATCGCTCTCCAACAGGAAGAACTAAAAAGAAGCAAAAAGAAGCGTGAGAGGGGAGGTAAAGCTTATTAATTGATGGTCAGATCGATTTGATAGCAATCATTTACTCACAACACAACTTGAACTAGCTAACTTGAAGAAAAAATCATCGCATGATGAAACAAAGACCATAAGAAGAAGGAAGGAAATAGGGATCGGATCTTCTATCATGATGACCAGATAAACAAGATTCTCAAGGGAAATCATCCACTGTATAGAATTGGGGAAAAAAAAAAAGTGACCCATACGGTGCAAATCAAGTTTGAGAAAAAGGTCAAATCGAGAAAGCTAAATGGATGGGTTAACTTACATGCTGCCATGGAGGGATGAAGAAGCTTGGACCATCCCGGAGGTGGATGGATAAGCCATTCAGATGCTTCCTTGAAGAAAGAACTCAGCTCTGAACTTGCTTCTTGACCACTTCATATAGAATTGACACATCTTGAAATGGAGTGAAACATCCTACCAGACCAAAAGCAACCTTATGTTTCTTCTTCCTCCTCGATCTTCTTCTTCACAACAGGGTTGCTATGATCGATGAATGGAGATAAACAAAAGGGAAACTGATCAGTATGTAGCAGCCGTTTTGTTCCCCTTTCCTGCCTGCTTGAAATCAGTTTGTGTGGCCTTTCTTCTGACCAGAAGAGGTAACGGATGACTTTTGGCTTGGGGATGGAGTGGTTGTGCAAGAAATAGAAGGAAGCCAGTGGCTATTGAAAAGTTGGAAAAGCAACATATCTTCAGACTTTATTAAAGAATTAAGAGATGTGATCAAGTCTATGCAATCTGGTAGTTTTGAAGCGGTTTTACACTTGTCGTTGTTTCATATCTTTTCACATATTGAGATTTCAGGGGGTGGATTTGGTTCAATCCTTTAAAAAAACCTATCTGATAGAAGAATGAGTCCAAATTGGCTCCATCTTTTGGATCTACTTGCATGGGTAGAATAAGTTCAAGAACTATTCCATATTAAACCCAAAAGATACAAATGAGAATAGAAAGGCCCTTTTCTATGCTTAATTTCACTGGTTTGTAGTGCCTTGCCTATCTTGGGGATACAAATAGCTAGAAAAAAAATTCTGTTTAAAATTAGTTAAATTGGCATACATCGAATTATTGAGTGGGATTAGCTTGAAAGCCGAGTTTGTTTTGTTCAGCCCACTATCAAGATTAGGTGTCATGTCATCCTCAAGCAGATAGATCTATTTCCCTCTTGATTTAAGTTAATGTGTTAAATTAGCTAGACTTGACACTCTTTCAATAAGTGTCATTCTCACTTCCTAAAAAGTCAAACATTTTCTGCTTTGACAAAATATATATAAGAAAATATTAATATTTCTCGTGCATGATTAGTATCATTAGATGAATCTCTAAATATGTTTTCATAATAAACTTATTTGAAGATACAAATATTGCTAATATTTTATACAAACCTAATTAAACTTAATAAAGTTTGACCAACACAAACCTCATAGAGTCATTCTTTTTAGGACGAAGGAAGTATGAGCCTATATATGGCTAAGCATCATAGCTAAGTGAACAAGAGTCGAACCATATCATTATAAATATTATGGGTTGAAGAAAAAGCCATTACTATTCTTCTATTTTAAAACATACTATTACAATTCATTGTCTACTTAAACCGTGTCATACAGATTCTACATTTTCGACAACATTAGGTCCACAGGTAGGTGACTATATTTCCATATTACCCCAAATACCGCCTTTCTTCTTTCTCTAGTTCCCCTCACTATATAAAAAGGAACAAGTTCACAACAATGGCTCAAGTGCCTCGCCCTCATCAACACTCCATATAGCACTCGACGAGCTGATGCTCCTCCTAGAGCTGCAGGAGATGCGACATTTACGTCCTAGGCGCGACGTCACTAGACCCGTGTTCGCCGCACGCCCGCAACCCAAGGGACTCATGGTGGGAGTAGGCCACGAGGAATGCGGAGAAGGGGTGGGAGTCAGGGGATGGTCTCATTGAAAGGATCAATGTGCCTAAGAGGAGGTGAATTGGACAAATCTAAAATTCTCGAAAAGTATAACTATTGTTTGGCCCATTTCACCATTGTACCTATCAAGTGATGTTTATGGTTACCGCACAAAAGTTTAGCACCCTGAGTTTTAATTCTAGTCTAGCATGACAATTCTAGTAAAGTAAATTGCCAGAACATAAATGCTCAAAGTAAAGAAAAGAAACGTGACGATGTTTTCTGAGGTATCGGAAAGTCAGCACTCTCCATTAGTTCTTGGTGGAGCACCCGCGCGAGGATATCACCCCCTCCTTGATCCCACAAGGACCAAGTGCTCTATAGTGGTTGATCCTTATCCAACTTAGGAAAATAGCATGTCTCCTATAAATACTCCTATAAGCAACTTTGAAAAACTGACCATGTCGCCTATAATAAAAAAATAACATCATTAAATTCTAAAATAATTTAAGAAAAATACAAACACCCATACGAGGTTGAGGAAACCCTGATGAACATATTCAACCAAAACCAAACTACTCCCTCCGTTCCAAATTATAATAAGTCGTTTTGACTTTATTTACATAGAATTTGCTATGTATCTAGACATATATTATATCTACATGCATAGCAAATTGGATGTACCAAAAAAATCAAAGCGACTTATAATTTGGAACGGATGGAGTAGTATAGAACTCTAGTAAAAGGGTAATCTTTCATATACAACCATATATATTTTAGCGCAGCATGTGCATGAGCAGTTGCATGTGAATAAACTTCCGTCCACCAAATGATTGAATGAGTGTTATGAGTTAAAACGCTAGCTATCATCATGATGGACTTAAATCTGAGTCCACCTCCCTAATTTCTGGCATATTATAGCATTTTAATCGGTAACTGGCTGCTGGTAAACCTCCAGTTTGATCGATTCTCGGGCTGAGCCACCAAGTACAGAATGTTTTTTTAGGAATACCAAGTACAGATTTGGATATGGTCGTATTGCTATGCACAATATTCTGATTCAAATCAAATTTCATAATAGCCCCGTTCGCTTATCTTAAAAATGGCTTGTTCGGCTTCTTTTTTCAGCCGGAATAGTGTTTTTCTCTCACAACAATTCAGCCGGAACAGTGTTTTTCAGCCAGTTTCAGTCAAATTTCAAACCAGCGAACGGGGCCAATGTTTACAAAGAAAAAAACAAATTTGATGCATCAGCAACTAGTAGTAGTCTTGTGTCGAAAGACTCCAGGTTCGGAATTATGAATTCAAAACAAAAAAATCCTGAGACTTTCTGCAGACACCATGCATATTAATCTTTCACCAATTCAGAAGCTACGTTAATCTTAAACCCTCCAGAGACGGTCAAGCTAGCGCCCGGACGCTCGCGTCTGCTGTGCCTGCCTGTGCCTCTGCCTATCCATGCTGCTACGCCCACCCGCATGTCTGCGCTTGCTTCACGTGAGGGGCCCACACCACTCCATTTCCCTGCCTATGCGCGTCCACGCCGGCCCAGCAGGTGCCTGCAGCAGGTGATTCTCACTGCAGCACCAGATCTACTTTTACAACATTTAGATAAAACACTTACAACATACGTCTAAAACAGTTGGAACACTTGCAACATACGTCTGAAACATCAGAAAAACCGGTGTGTAGCTATTTCGAAACATATGCAACATCCAGATGAAATACTTGCAACATACGTATGAAACACCTAAAATACTCAAAACATATGTTTGCAACATGCATGTATATGCAACATCCAGATGAAAAACAATTACAACATACGTCTGAAACAGATGAAACATTTGGGGCATACACTTGGAACACTATTGCAACATTAGCAACATCCCGATCTACTTTTGCAACATCGATGTAAAACACTTGTAACATACCTCTGAAATATTTGAAACACTTGAAATAGACACTTGCAACATGCGGTTTCAACGCAACATCTCCTTGCCGCTTAGGAGAATAATGAAGGCTCGTCGGCACGTGGAGTTCCGCCCCGGCCACGGTGAACTGGGCAGGTGGAGCGTGAGATGTGCGCGGGCGGGCTCCGCTCGGGCTGCCGTGAGCTACACGGGCGATCTCCACACCCGGTCGCAGCGAGTTAGGCAGGCAGAGCACGAGATGTGCCCGGGCAGCCTCCGCCCTGGCCGACCGCCACGAGCTATGCGGCTGGAGGGTGTACTGGCCGAGCTCCGCTGCGGTGATTTTTTTTTTTTTTTGAGAAACTGCATGACTCGAGAGCTGGACGAATGGATAGGAGGGAATCGTTTGATCTTGTGTCACGCCCACGAACGTGAGCGTTCGGGTAGACGGACACACTGAGGAGAGCATTACCGCTGGAGAAAGGAATCCCTGGGCTGGAAGCGGAAATGAAAAAAAAAAACAATCTAGGCGCCGCCCACGAAGTACAACAGTGCCGTACGAGCTGTGAACGTTCAATTCAAACAGGAGAATATGACGTGACAGTGCAGCGATCAAAGAGCATGACAGACAGTGATCGGGAAGCTAGTATGCACATTCGTGGGACCTTCGTTCTCGAAACAAAAATGCTCGTCACCAGCTAGCTTTGACATTGCAGCAAGGAACGGACTTTGAAATTTCCGGACTTCTGCTGGACATGTGTCAGGTGATCTGGCCTAGGTTTGAGTTTTATGCCTTGACCATCACTAGACTGATTTGGCCACCATATGTTGGGAAAGAAAAGGGTTTACTAGTAGTACAATGGAACGGAGCACACTCTGAAGAACTCATTTGGTTCGGGCCATGAGAACACTCGGATCCTTACGTATCTTTTTCAGGATGGGAGTATATACTAGGTCCAGTTTAGTTGCAAAAAATTTTGCAAAATTTTTCAAGATTCCCCGTCACATCGAATCTTTGGACGCATGCATGAAGCATTAAATATAAATAAAAAATAAAACTAATTACACAGTTTAGACGAAATCCACGAGACGAATCTTTTAAGCCTAATTAGACTATGATTGGACACTAATTGTTAAATAACAACGAAAACTGCTATAGTGTCATTTGCCAAAATTTTTGACATCTAAACAAGGCCCTACTAGTAAACCACTGACAACCTAGGAGCTCCACGATTCGCCTTTGACATACTCCTTCCGTCCAAGATGCAATTCTAGAATAATACATACCCACTCCGTCCCTAAATAACTACCGTTATTAGTGTGCATGCCGCAAGTTTGACTCGATTTGTAGAAAATATATGTAATACTTGTATTTCCAAATAAATTTATTAAAAAGCTAGATTCAAAGATCTTTCCAATGATACTAATTATGTACCATAAATATTTATATATTTTAATATATATTTATTTAAAGTGTTTATCAGGAAGCAAAAACGAC